ACATATGTCACAGTTTTACTAATGCAGTCTCCAGTAAAACTTTATTTTTCAGAGAGCATGTTTAGGCAATAATTTTTACACAGGAATACATAGGGCAATGCTGGCTTACAGCAGTTAATGGTCAAACTCTTTGGTGCAAACACACAAAATCTGTTGGCAAATCCCCTCTCAAATCTCAGCTTCTCTCTGCTTCGTTCCCACCTTTTTCTTCCAAAACCGCTGTTCTCAAACAACTGTCTTTGAGGTTCTTTCCCTCCTTCTGCAGGTAATATTGGCTTCTGAAGCATTCTCCCCTAGTCTCCTATCACACTTCTCCTTCTACTCAAAATCTGTTCCACTCAGTGACCTACTGATTCTCTAAGAAACAACTCAAATGCTATTTTCTCTGAAGCTGTTACATTCTTCTATCTCCTGAGCAACGTGGCTACTTTGGGAGTTTAAAAGGAAGAATAAACTAGGTTCATACTCCTTATAACTGCATCACATTGCTATGTGAAACTCTGCCTCACTCATCAAAAATAAACTCCATATGGGCAGGCATTGGCCATGGTACATTCTTTTTGTAGCTCCTTTTCTAGTTTATTGCCTAATATATATAAAGATGACGTGTAGTGAATGTTTACTAAAATATTTGCTAAATACGCTACAGATAGAAGATAAAACCGTATTTGTCACACGCACACATACAAACTGTTACCAAGCAACGCAGTCAATGATTTTTATCTTCAGGAAAGCAAGCATTTACTTCACAGGTCCATCAATCTTTGGAAATCCTGATTTCTCTGTTTCTCATCATACACATCCTATAAACTGTACTCCTCAGGGACCATAAACTTTCCAATGTCACTGTAGAATATCCTGCTTAACAAGGACTTGGCTGTTCTATCTTGTGCCAAAGTCAACATGACAGCATCCCCCCAGTTGACTTGTAAGGCTCTTCTCGGGCTCCCCACAGGCAGCTCCTGTGCAGAAGGGCAAGAGGAACCTCACATCCCTTTTCTGAAAACACAGTCTGTCATTATTCACTGATAGTCCTCCAGGCAATGCCCACTCCTAGCTCAGACTGCCACTCGATAACAATTTCTGTAGAAGAGCAGCTGTTCCACATCATATGCCTCTCCGTGAACAGCGCCCAGGTACTGCCATTCCAATTGTTTTATGAATGTGCTAGAGAGATGGTAGGTTGCCAAAGACAGCATCCACAGGATTGTTTGAAATAACGCCCCAGACATAAAAGGAAAGAAAAAAAAATCCCTCACAGATTGCACTGTGTACAATTCTGGCTGTGTTGCACATCCTCTGCAGCTGTGCATTCATGATGCTACATTTAAGTAGAAATCTGTGAAAAAAATTAGTCAACAGGAGATGAGAGTTTGGTGGCCATTGTAAGGATTTGGCTGCAGTGGTTGCCAAGATCCATCCAGAATGAGCTCTGCTTGTCTCATAATCAACTGGAAGTAGGCTATGACCCCTTGCTGGAATTTAATCTTTTCATCCATTGTATGATCTTTTTTCCAAAAATTAGCACTTATATTTTTTTTTATGAAAAGGATTACCGTTACTTTGTGCTGATTCTTTTAGAATCACAACTGTCTTAAAGTTGGGATTTTTTAACCGTCATGAAGAGAGAAACTTTCCCAAACGTGTATGTGTCACCCTAGTACTTCTTATGCTCCCCCGCCTCACTCTGAGGAAACCGATAGTAAAACTGCAATTAATGAGGAAGACGCCTGCTCAGTTGAAATGTATAAGATCAGTTGCTTATCAGCAGGATGCAAATCCAAGTTTCAGAGGCACCACCAATTTCTCATTGTCAGACAGAAGAATATTTCAAACTCTGCCTAATGAAAAAGGAAAATAAAATATCCCATGAATCC